GGTAAAGCTGTACAGTTAGTTCACTTTTTATATGTTTGTTTCTTTATCTTTGGAACTATCGAACCGTTTGCTTCCAGTTATGAGTAAAAGTGATAGCTTTTGATAGCTTAGGTACAAAATCAGAAATATGATTGAATTTGTTAAACAAATAAACAAAAATAATTTCTTTGAAGTCATCTCTTAGCGGTGCGGTGTTGCTGCAAGCATTACGTGGGAGGCGCTTGTACATATATTACAAAATTTCTATTATTTATTCAGCCCAATTTAATTCCGTTTATGACAGCGCGGAGTATTTTCCGCTGTATAAATATTGCGTTTAATCGAAAAAACGCGAAAAACCCGCCCTTCTATACTGTGAAACTCACCAACAGCTTCTCTCTAGAGAGGTGTTTATCAAAGAGAATACGTCTTCCGTTAGACAATAAAATGAAATGTTTGCCTAATCAATAGAAAAGAAACGACGAAATTAGAAAAGAAATTCTATTATAAAAAAAAGGGGAATTTTCCTCCGCAGATATGAAAAAATTCCACGAGTGCAGTGATACTTTTCGATTTGTGAGAAAATTGCATAAGAGAAATCGACGCGCGATTATGTGGAAAAGCTGCTGCTCCAATAAGTTTGTATAGATGCATAAGAAAAATCGACCGGTAGTCGTATTGATTTTTAATAAGTCCCTGAAACTAGAATCGTGTTTAAATGTTTAAAGAACCTAAAGCATATTGTCGTGCGTAATAGATTTTTTTCGGGGTTTTCATAACGGGGCAGGGTCGGTTTAAAATAATTTTAGGCAACCATCAAAACGTATTTATATCGGGAATTAAGCGAAAATGTTCCCGTTTTTATATAGTATCTCATATTTGCTCGGGTAGATAAGGTGGATTTTTTCATTTGAAAACTTAGATATGAAAAGAAGAAAAATACGAAAGACCCGACTGGCTATTATCTCGAAGGAGCTGGGTGTAATCAAACTAAACGAGCAATGAAGTCACCAAGGCAAGGAAGGAGTAGTTGTTAGGCCGCAAAGCGTCGTATAAATGTTTCGACTAACTTGTTGATTATCAAACGGATGCACTATCTACGAAATCAATTGAACCCACTCACATTCACTCGAACGCAATTATTACAAAGTAGAGAGTTTTCTACATCTTCGTATAATTTGCTTTTATTCGAGGTGTGTAGCTTCTAAACAATTTGCGTTAGAGAAGAGTAGTTGGCTGACTGTAAATTAAACTTGAACAACGCGGCAAGTGCCGCCGCCGAGGCAATAACGGATAGGGTGGAGCTCTTGGCCATACGTTATTTTCGCGATTATTGTGGTTTTTATAGTGGTTAAACCCACTACACCGAATTCGGCAAGAAATATTTAAGCGGGAACTTCGTCGTCCACATTTTTTTAACACGTGCCACGGTCTACATTATTATAAGCTAATTTACAAAATATGTGCCATTTCTTACCTGCGCATGCTTTTATTATGCGTCGCTACACTTTTGTCTTCTGCCATTACGTAAGCACATTTGAAAATTCGTCATGTCACGTCAAATATCGCTTCTCGTAAAAATCTAAAGAAAAATTTTCTACGTTACCGGTTGTGAAAGTTGAAGGCGGGCCAGAAACAATACGAAGAATTTAGAAAAAACGCGAAAATTTTAAAATTGAGTGTATGTAGCTAGCGTTTTTTGAAGTCGCTAATATGCACATCTGGCCCAAAATTGCGCTTCATTACGCTCTGGAATTTTTTACACGCTTTAATGTAGCGATTAATTCGCTGTTGGCTTTCGTTAGGTTTTATAAAGAAAATATTTACTCGTTTAAGAGTTTAGTAGGTGGAGTTGCGGGAAGGATGACTGTATAATTAATAACACGTTCTAAATTGTTGAGAAAACAACCCCCGGTGTCGTTTCTAAATTCATGTAATAGAAAGATTTGATGTCGAAGAGAATCGAAAAGTTTCGTCGTCTTTTACCGGTTGCAAGTTTTTTAATAAAACTGGCGATCATTTAATATTTGGCGGGAAAATCAAGCACATTTTCCGTATAGCTTATGATTCGAAAAGTCACGAAAACGTAGTAAACTTTATCCATAAAATCTTCCGATTCAAATAAAAGCCTTTTTTATAACCTGTCTCTAATACATATTCTATATGAGTACGTGAAAGATTTTTCGATTTTTCCGGGAAAGCGTCCGAGGGAAAACGTTTCTTATTTATCACGATACCGAAACGGGAAAGTTTAATTTAATTAACTGTGCAGTTATTTCAGGGTGTTGTTGTGTGAGTATATTGGAACGGTTTACAAATGAGAATATGATAAGAACTAATTTAACTACGAACATTCCGTGTCACAACCGGATATCCAAGGCTTCACTCAAGTATGTTGATCATGTTGTTCTAATTAGTGTACACTGCCTCATATTTGCATGGAAACTAGGAAAATTAAGCAAGTAAAACACCTTCGCTCGTCTTTATTAGATTATTTTGTTCACTTATAATTTTAATAAGCTTAGAGAAATTGGGTTTACCTGTCGAGTGTGGCTCGAGCTGGCAAAAATAGTGCGATTATTTATGTTAGGTTTTTGCAATGTTCATTCGCGTAACGCACGAGGTAATCTGCTAAGATGGATGTTGGCTTATGCGCGTTACAAATCAGAGATTTATTACAGCATGAACGGTGATCGGTTGTCTGGGATTTACAGGTCAAGCCGGAAATCTTAAAATTTAAAACGCGTTAAAACCGCGTAATTTAATCTCGTTAAATGGACATATTTTGCAAAAATGCCGATTTAATTGAAAAACTTCACAAAGACTCCAGGTATTCAAATTTTATTTTTGACGAAGTTAATTATAACTTTAGAGACGGCGCACAATAATGGCCACAATTTGAGACCAAGATTATTTTAAAAGCGAGCCGCGATCGCTATCGTGGGAAAAAGTCTACTCATGAGCTGAGAAGTCGCGTTTATAAATCCGGAGCATTTGAAACTTATCGTACGTATGATAACAATTTCAAGTACGACCATGACAGCAATCTTGGAACGATTAACGCAGCAAATCCTGAGCTCAAATGGGCCCAGTCTTCGTCTTAGCGAAGATTAGATGGGGTAGGAAATAATGTAACTTATCTTAGATATTTACATTGCATGCCTAAATTAGAGCCTCAAGCACCTTGTTAATGGAGAGATATACTACTTATATTTAACGGGATTTCGTAATTTCCTTACATATACATAACTTATTTTAATGGGACAGTTTAATTCACCAATTACTTTGAATTATTGCTCTCAAATACTTTACATATATTTAATTTGCGCGCATCATTTTCAGATTTACCTTCATTCTGTAAATTTCAGCCGTACTCGGTTCACTCGATTAATTTAAATATTAAAATATATTCAATTAACATTTATAAATAACGCCGTTGTCAGATGCAGGAATTGAGTTTTATAACTCTATACTGCCATCCATGATTACGCTTTATTGATGTACATTCACTGTTTAATAGTAACTGTCATTTAGAAAAAACCTCTTGTCAGTAAAACAAATAATAGGATATATGCCAACATATAAATTCAGGTATTTATTTTAGGCAGTTGCGGTAATCGTAAATAATGCTCAAATTTTACTAAATTTACATTACAGTTCAACAAATCATGCAAATACAATTGCGAACTCGCTAAAATAATAGCATCGAAAAACATTCGGATTCATCAAATTTTTAGTCATGTAAATTTCACTAATTACATTTGCTCATTAGACGTTAAAATATCGGACATAACGCGAAGATTTATTTAACTAGAAATCAATTCAATCGCTCGTTTAAACGCGGCGTTTAATCGAAAACGTGATTAATTTTAAGAATTTTTTACATTTTGGTTCTGCTAAATATTACAAATTTTGACACTTGACTCCCAGTTGCCGGAATTCGCGAGCTTGTTTGTCTCTTAAACTCCAGAGAAAAACATAAAATCTGGTGAAACATCAAGAATGATCTCTAGAGATTTCCCTGGCGAGTTCACATTCTCTTGATTAGCTTACTTTTTATGCGCTTTTAATACTTTTAAAAATTGCTAAAATGTTTTATTCGACCCGGCGCCGCCACCATTTCGGATTAATAACGACTAAACGCCGCTTTTCAACAAGTAGCCAAATTTGTTACTTTAACCTCACATTATATCGTTGATATATTTCACCCCACATGCGGAATGCTCGAAAATCAGACTTCTTGTTATTTTTGGCATTCTTTACGGGAAAGTTTGCGCTTCATCTTTGCGTTTTTTTTATTTTCGCATAATCCGTCCGTCGTTTCTCGATGTTTGCTTCCTGTTTTCAATAGCACTTCATTTTATATTAATCGTCCCCTGCCAATTTCCTGTTTTAGTTGGACGGTTAATTTGTTGACTTAAAATTTTTAGCTAAACAATTACGGTTTCTTCGCATTCACTATTTCTGTGGATAATTACAATCTAAACAAACAACAGTAAGTAAACAAATTAATTAAAGTTCAATAAAGGAGGTTGTTAATTTAAGCTTAAGACATTAATCGAAGTAATAAGCTTTCTGTGCTTTGCTATACTAATGCGAGTTCGACGTGTATGAATACGGGGTTTAAATTAATATGTATATATGAATAATAAATTGGATCTTCACCAGAGGTAAATGAACAGAGCTTTGCACGATGTCATCCAAAACATTAATAACACTAATAGTAATAGTATAAGTGGTAAAAGCGTCTTCAGCGGGTGTGACTTTCTCGGAGGGAAAAAAGCATCGATTTTTGCCGTAAACGGTTTACGAGTGAAACAGCATTCCTCGCTTGGCAAAAAAATGGTAATATCGATAAAGTGTCTTGCACCTTAGAAATAAAAATAGCCACGGAAATTGTGTCTGGAACAATAAAAAGAAATTGAAGTATAGTATTGTTGACACGGCGTCATCGATATTGCCACTATAAAAATATTTGCTGTCATAAATTAGTTGTCAAATAAAGTTTTAGAAAATCTCACCTTATATGTGCCGAGATTTTCTACAACGCACGGTAAACTGGCGTCTCGTCCTAAGGCCACTGTGACGTTGGGGATGGGCTCTGCGAATCTAGGATCATCTGTCATGGCTGCAACAAAACGATAATTTACACAATCACGAAATGTAAATGAACCAGATTAAGCGTGCGTCTTTAGTAAATTTCCGGTAAACAATAGACCCTATAGAAAATAACTTCCAGTCTAGTAAGCAAGCTTGTTTTCTTTAAGTCTTAAATACTCTGCGACTTCCAAGCCGTCTGAAACTTGAACGTTAACGAAAAGTGGACAACTTTCCTTTCCTAACTCTTAGATATTTCGACCGATCGTCGACAAGTTCTTAATGCAATAATAAATAAAAAAAAATATCGTTGTGTTCCCGTCAATGAACGCACTACTCGAAAATTATTTATAAAGTGAGCACCTGAGATGGGATTACTGTGTAAGAACGAGGGTAAGCAGAGATTGTTTGCGAGGAGTTTCAAAGACCACGATGAGATTAAAATTTTAATTTTTGTTGAGCTTTATATAGTTTTAATAAAACTTTCGTAATGAAACTCTGAATTTATATAGTGTTTATCATGCAATAAATTTTAGAATTTGTCGATACAGGTGACGCAGCGAATAAAGTATTGTAACGTCTATAACAACTGTCGTTATGGGATAACAAATGAGAAAATTGTAACTGTCGGCGTTTCATTAGTCACAATGTCAAATTAATGTGCATTATACAAATAACGTGGAAGTAGATAGATGAATCTAGCAATAAATTTTTTAAGCTCGTAATTGAGCATAATTCGTCGAAAAGTTTGAAGAGTCGTAAAAATAAATTAGGCAAGCCTTTATTAAGGATTGATGAAACTAAAATGTCATTAAGGTAGGGGAGAATACAATATGGGTAGTACGAAGATGGAACTGCATTCGGGAGACATAGAGGTAAACCCCTCAAAGGAGATTACGGAATCGATTTCGTTCGAAGAGCGGAGAAAAAAGCAGTCCTTTCCCACTTTATGTGCTTGTTATTCTATCCTTTATATTTGAAGTGACCACTTAATGTGTTTTATGGTGCCAATATCAGATTGCTTGTATATAAATATAATATATGTTCATCCGACAATAAATATAACGCTTTTATTTCACCTTTATTCATAACTCTTAACGTTTACTATTATTTCTTAGATACAAGAACGATTACGTTCGAGAACTCGAACACAAACGAAGATGATGGATTATGCAAAAAAAAAAATATATGAGTTGCGAGAAACGAAGAAAAATGAGTAAGCCGTTTCGCATTCAGTGTACAAGTAACAGCAGTAATACACAAGATGCTTTAAATAATTATCCCTAATCATTCATACCGACTTTATAAATGGCTCTTGTCTCGCCTAATCGAAGCACGTTTAACTAAATAATATAATCTCGTCAGAAAAAAGGTGTTAAAAAACTATAAATCTCCCGATTTATCGCGAACCGAAGGGTTAACGCCTGCGTATCAATTCGCCGCTCGCCGAAAAAATTGAATTTCGCCACCAAGTCGAAATATTTTTCATCAGAGTAATTACGCATGTGAGTAAATCATCCCCTCGACGAAACTTAAACATAAACTGCTGCACCGTTGCCGATGTAACGTTGATTGAACGTTACCGGATTTGTACAAGTTGGTCCCTTAAAACGGATCATTTATCAGGGTATTTCTAGTGTGTTACGATCTATTTTGAGGCGCACGGAGGGGAAAAAGATTGACCAGGAAGGCTGTATACAGAATTATGTGTTTCTGCTCAGATACTGTTGTACACTAAATTAGCCAGTCCTCTCCTTGATTACGCCATCCATCAAAATCAACCACACGCGGGCATTACAAGCTTTAGTCATTTATGCTGGACCGCGTACGCTTTTCGTTAAATTATTGTCAGAATGTTATCGTTGCTATACTACGATCTTTCCAAATTTACATCGTTACGCTAATACGTCAATATTTAACTCCTTGATGCGTTAACATTAAAGATCACGCAACGCGGGCATTACCTGTAGGAGACCGATTGCTTAAACACAGGTGCTACGCTGCCAAGTCCCTCCTTATTGCTGTTAACTCCGACGATTTTTGTAACAATTTCATGGTAATTACAAACATTCGTTCACTTTAAACTGAGAAAAATGAAAATCTAATACTCATTTACGGAGCTTCGAAGTCGTGGCCTTCGCGTTTGCCAGATTTAAATCCATGCGATCTTGAACTCGTAACAGTTACATTTTGCCGTTGCAGAATCGCCTGAAACGGGTTAAAAATTCCGTCGTAAATGTTCGTTTAGTACGAAGCAGGACTTTGGCGTTCCTAGCCGTAGCTGCTCGTAAGTCCTGTGGCAAAATAATCTTTTCTGGTAAAATTTATACCTTCGGTCGTTATGAGCTCGAACGGCTTAATTAAAAATTTAAATTCGGTGTAGAAAATAAAAGTAGCAGGTAAGTTGATCTTTTGTTCAGTTACGTCACCCCGTATTCGTAGCGTGGACGTGTTTTAAGCGAAATATGGTGAATTAGCGTCACGGTTATTATTGCGCAGAACTAAACTCAAAAAGCGTGTATCCATTTAAGCATCCTTAATTTTAATATTTAATTTAGTTAAAGTAAATTTGTGTGGAGTGTCTCGTTGAAAAATGGTTGCGAAGTAGTTGTGTCCCGAGGCCATGCATTATGTAATAACGCATGCCGAGCGAGTAAATTTGCGCTTCAGATTCTTAATTTAAGCGTAGGCAAGACTAAGTGTAGACATTTTTATACTCGTGATAGCTGAGATAATTCTTGCGGGGTTATGTGGGTTGGGAAAGAAGAATGCATTTTATTGTTACAGAGAAAAGTACATATATTTCCTGAAGCTGCAGCGAAATCGCCTGGGAAGAAATAAATAAGTCTTTTGTGGAGAGTTTCGAGTAAAATATTTGCTATGATTCCCTTTTATGAATGTATTTGGGAGTTTTGGCGAATCATTTTCTCATTACGGTTATTATTTGTAACACTTGTGGGAAAGAATGAAAGACATTCTTTCGGGCACTAAGAAAAGAGAGTCTTGAGTAAATTGACCGATCTATACCTATATCAAAGCGTGGGGGATAGTCGGAGAATCTTCTCTCGATCGGAGGCCGGAAGTTAGCTGCTACAACTGCTTTTCCGACGTAAAGTACTTTCACGTATCGATTACATATTTATATTGGCAATACACTAAAAGGTATCGAGATGAAGGTATAAATTCCCGAAGATTTCGAAAACCTGGCACTGGCCCTATTTATAACCCATAAAATCACTATAAATTAAATATAAAAATATATCTTCTTTCCCGCGCACAAATTCATTATTAAATCCGTCACACAACGAAAATCGCTCCCTTTCAATTTTACCACTCTTCTTTCGATGCACATTTAAAATAGCGAAAAGTGAATTTTTAAAATGGGACATTGTTCGTCTAGCGTATTTGCGAGCTCACGCTCTGACAGGGGTCGGCCATAAATTGCAAATTTTTAGTTATGGGGGATTTTGTCAATAAAGTTCATCTACAAAAGTGTTATTTTAAAGAATGGATGGTTTCCCGAATTATTTGTGGTTGTGCAACCTCGTAGACGAAATTGAAAAATTCGAAAATAACAAATCGCCAGCAGAAAAATTATAAAACGCCGGCTTCACAGTCGGAATATTGATTAACAGCAAAATAGTTTGATTACCCATTTTTCGAACCTTTTTAAATTGCCGGACGCTCGCCATTTGGGACGACCAAAATAATCGCCAGCCGGAAAGTATGAAACATTTTATGTCAAAAAAAAACAAAACAAAAATTGTTTCTGCATTTTACACACTTATGTACTTAGTGATCTTTTTTATTTTTTATTTTCAACGCGCAATGCAGATATATCTGGCAGATATTGTGACGTCAGCGAAGTGTGCAGATGGCGTCTCGTGGTTGTGTTGATAATCCAGACATAATTTGTTAAACACAGGAAAAATAGTAACAATGTTTAGATAAATTATTGTTTATTATAGTCTTATGTATGTAGTTAGAATGGTAGGTTTTTGCGTATTGTCTCTTTTCCGGCGCATCCGCCACATGGCGGCTCCTCTTTCTAGTGTGCATCTGTTTCGTTGTCTTTTTAAAGTGGCCGAATCTTCCTTTTTTATGTTCTAGGACGTGTGAAATAAAAGTGTTCGCGGTGGAAGGATTTGCGAATATTTTTCAAAACGTATAATAGAGCAATATCGTATTGCTTTATTTTCGTGTTTGTCTGCCGGTCGTAAAAATATGTAATTTGTGCACGGATGTACGTTTTCGTGCGAAAATGTTTCTTTCTCTGTTTTAATTGTAGCGTCACGGCTCAGGTCTGTTTGTTAATGTTAATCTATGTAAGCCCATTATATTTTGCAGGGGGTAAAAGTAAAAGTAATTGGTGTGTTAAAGTTAAGGGTAGTGAGTAGGGTTATGTAGCTAGAGCGTTCCTGTGAAATAGAGCAGGATCAGTTACTAGCTCAGCGTAATTTAACACAGTGTCATATCGCTGGGGCGTAAATGTATCTCCACTACTTGTCAGAAATTTACAACCGGATTTTCGGGAGATCGTTTTTGTGATTTTATACCATCCTTTTCCATTCTACTAGAATTGAGTAAAGGATTCCGCAATTTAATCGCTTCATCTAATTTATTGTATTAATAGCTTTCGGTAGTTAAGAAAAGAAGTGAATGAATGCATTAGCGCGTTAGTTTATTATTAGAGCGCGGAAATTCTATTACCGAAGATAATAGTTTTCCTAGAGAAAGAAAAAAATCATTTAGTAGAAGCTTCATATTATCTGAAAATTGATCGTTCGATTTTACACATTAAATGATTAATGATTTTGTTAAATTGATTTCGGTTTTGTTTTTTGTTGAAAGGGAGGGACTGTTGTTCTAAATCGCTAGATGAAGGGTAAAAGTATACTGTAACTTTATCGAATTGCATTATTTCTTTTCAAGAAACCTCGTGACATGTTTGAATAGCTATTTTATGTGAGGGAATTTGCATTTTACCCTGACTTGGCGATTTTACGCACGGTTGGTTTATTACTATAGCCG